ATGAAGAAGTTTACCCAGCCGGACCCTTCCACTGAAGCCACTGAAGCTCACGGAGGAGACGAGGCAGAAGACATGCCCACTGGAAGACAGTTGGAAACAACTGCTTTGACCCCGCTTAACAATATTGATAAACAGCCTACCCTACCTCCTGAATCCAGTGCAAGTCCCCTTCCTTCAAGGCCCGCTCGTGTTAGGCGCCCTCCAGCATGGATGAGTGACTTTGTCTTCCTTTGTGCTTAAAATCCAAAACATCCGATGCAAATCTATGTAGATGACTCTATGCCAATTTATTTGTTCGTAGTTTGTGTACATTGGACATTGATTATTTGGACATCAGCTATCTGCGTGATAGGGAGTTTTGTAATATGTAAGGAGGTGATGTAGTGTAGTGACAGTGACGTTTATGTCACGTGACATTGAAAAATCATGTGCTAGAGAGAGTCCTCCATCTTGTCAATAGAATCGTTGTGTTCCTACAATATTGTGTGTTTTCTTCTCTTGCGAAGCTATTACAGGAAGTACAGGAGATTCATGGAAAGCTAAAGTTTCATTGAATGGACTGTTAGCAGAATTTAAATTGGATACTGGGGCGGAGGTAACAGTAATTCCACCTGGCCTGTATCACAATTTGCAACCAGCTCCATCACTTAGCAGGCCCAAAAGGCTACTCGTGGGTCCATGTAAACAGAAACTGAGTTGTCCAGGAACTTTCATAGCAGAGTTGCCAGCGCAAGATAAGGTTGCTAAGGAGCAAGTGTATGTAATAGAAGATCTCGAGCGACCTTTGTTAGGAAGGAAGCCAACTGAACTTCTAGAGCTGATAAGTAGACTTGACAGCCTGAACAGTGATGACTACAAGAGTAAAGTAGCAAACAAGTAACCCAAGTTGTTCGAAGGACTAGGTGTCATGAAGGACAGTTACTGTATCACTCAAAGAAGATGCCAAGTGTCAGTTCCAAGATAGGTACTCTTCCCCTTGTATGAGAAAACAAAAGAAGAGTTAGACAGGATGTTGGAGGAAGGTGTCATATCCAAGTTGACCAACCCACTGATTGGTGCGCTCCCATGGTGGTGACCCCGAAAAGCAATGGCAAGGTCAGGGTCTGCGTCGACCTAAGCAATCTGAATGAGTACGTCATGAGGGAGAACCATCCACTTCCAACAGGAGAATGTGACTAATGAGATTCCATTTCAAGGAGATCAAGCATGTTCCCGGAAAGAAGATGTACATAGCTATTGCACTTTCAAGACTTCAAACCCGAAGCCAAACAGTGAAGTCAACAATTGACAATGACGAAATGCATGCACACATGGGAAGCGTGATCTCATCACTGCCTGCCTCAGACGCACGATTACAGCAGATCATGGAAGCACAGGAGAAGGATTCTGTCTGCAGGCAGATCAAAGTGTACTGCTGTGTGGGATGGCCTGACAAGCATTCATTAAACGATGCAACGAAACCTTATTGGTCAAGCAGGGGTGAACTGTCTGTAGTCCAGAACATTCTGCTCAAAGCATCCAGGATCGTGATCCCTTCTTCCATGCGTCTTGAGATACTGGATAAGATCTACGAAGGACAACAAGGAATCGCTAAATGCCGTGAGCGGGCCACAAACTCTGTTTGGTGGCCAGGACTCAGCCGAGAAATCCAGGATCTGGTGCAACAATGCAGAGTTTGCGCTCTTCAAAGGGGCAACAAGCCTAAACCACTTATCACGACACCCTTACCTAACCATCCCTGGCAAATCGTAGCCACAGACCTCTTCGAGCTGAAAGGTGTTGACAACCTTACTGTTATAGACTTCTTCTCAAGATACGTGGAAGTAGCAGCTATGCAGACGACTACAAAGTCAAATGAGGTCATTGGAGCACTTAAGTCGATATTTGCCAGACATGGGATCCCAGAGCAAGTGCGATCTGACAATGGTCCTCAGTTTGACAGTGCAGAATTATCTTACTTTGCTAAGGAATGGGGATTCAAGCATAGCACAAGTAGTCCTTGATTCCCCAAGCAAAGGGAGAAGTTGAGTGGGGAGTTAGAACTGTGAAGAATCTTCTAACAAAGGAAAAAGACCCTGCTAAAGCATTACTGGCCTATCGCTCAACACCACTAGCATGCAAGTTCTCTCCTTCCCAGTTGCTGATGGGAAGGCAGATTATGAACAGCGTTCTGTTATTCCACACCCAGCTGAACCCACAGTGGCCTGACTTGGATAACCTGCGTGCACGAGAGAGCATGAGCAAATTGAAGCAGGAAACAGTGTTCAACACCAAGAACAAGGCCAAGCCCTTGCCTTCAGTTGGATCGGGTACTGAAGTGAAGGACCTTCAGCGGTCAGGAAAAGTCATTGAAGCAGCATCAACACCTCGGTCGTATAAAGTTGAAACACCGACCAGCACGATAAGAAGAAACCGTGTTCAGCTTACTCCAATGCCAAATCAGCAGGAGCAACATGAGCGACCGACACCAATAGTGAACCAAGTTCCCACAGAGGACAAAGCGACGGCACCTGTTCGGAGGGCCATTCCCGTTACAAAGGGAGACATTCAAGTACCCCCTGTAACACCCATTCTTGCTACTAGGCCTAAGAGAATTATAAAACCATCGCTGAAAGTTAAGAGAGAATCTAGGTTTAGCTTGAGATGACGCTGTGTTATAAGATTCCATAGATCGTTTGTCAGTCTTCTCACGCTCTGTTCGTTTCCCTAGATACTCTTGAGCAATGGGGGAATCTTACATGAAGTATTGCTCAAGTTAATTACGCGCAAGATGCATGTTGGTTATTAAAGATGGCGTGTTATGTTTAGTGCACAGAAAATGGCGAAAAAAGGAGGGAAGAAACAAACAACAAAGAGCTTTTTCAGGTTTTATAACCACTCGCCTCTGTTAACTATGCGCAAAGTGATAGAGCATGTTCAGTGACAATAACCAGGATTGGTATCGAAGAAATTTCTACGAAATATAAGTATGATTTGATGGTATTGGATGTTTGGAAGGCACTTATCAGATTAAGACTGATCCCATGATAACTTGAGTGGTACACCTACCTCGCAAAATATCCTTTCTCACATTAGAAAAATTGGGTGTCAACTGTCTTTGTAAGACTGATGAGCCTAATAGGTGGGCTGATTGCGATAGTTAGTTCTTTAGTGGAGGTGTAAAAACCAAACCTTAAATTACATATGTGTTTAGATCCTAGAGTTCCATAAATAAGGCTGTTCTGGGAGAGCACTATCATATGAAACATTGGAAGAAGTGGCAGGTAACATATCTCAGTTTTTAATTTGTTTCCTGACTCTGTGTTAATATTAACTGTCAACAATGCTGATGCATGTTAGGAACATTAAGTCCAAAGACTGTTTTCAAGAGTTCCAGTATGAAAACTTACGTCATCTAATTCAGTTCCTTGTATTTTTCATTTTGTAAGAATTGAGATGATTCTCGAAGCGCATGCTCTCACAGTAATTGTTGTAGTGTACTAAGATATAGCTGTAGGCCAGCACAGCCTCCTTGTGTTTCTTTAGGTAGGTTCCTGACAATATAAAAGCACTACAGGTGGTTTCCAATAACATCATAAGACTTCTTTCTCTGCTACGACCTTTTCTTCCAGCTTTGGGGTGGGGACACTTCTTTCCTCTACCAGTAATAATGAAGAAACAAAGAGTCTTGGTGCTTGCTTTATAACAGAGAGCGCTCTTGTATCTAGTGCTTTTGATACCTATCTTTCAAGGTAAGATGTGATCAGAATATCTATCAAAAATAATCTTCAACACAAACCAGTTTGTTCTTCTGGGTACTAGTCAGGTTGACGGCCTCTGGGTCGTAATTTTAACACTATCAGTTTCATTTTTTGCCTTTCTTCTTATGTGCAAGTTGTATGCAGCTGTGACGTTTTACTTTCCAAAGTACTGTTTTCAGCTGACAAAGCCACAACAGAGGTGTGCTGGTGGTGGCTGGTTAACAATATGGATTGCCATCATGCTTTCTTCAGCCCACAGCACCAATTGGGCCAACAAGAGATCGTGTTTTGTAGCAAACCCAGATGGTTGCATTATCCCTAACACGCCACCACCACAATCAGCTCACCTAAAGTTAACTGTCAAAATAATCCTGTGATCACCAGGCACCACAACAGTTTCAACAAGATATCGTAACATCTTAAAACAACTCCCGATTCTGACCATGTGCCACATGAGGGTTGTCTTTCCTGTTGATTCTCACCTTGCTCAAGGGACTTTCGTCAGGTACTCTCTTTTTCCACCCTTCCAAAAAACCGGCAATTCCAGTTCCACCTGAAAAGAGGACTGGAGCTAAACAAGCTAACGCTGGTCGGGCTTCCTTTCAAATATTATAAAATCTGTAAGACAAGCAGGGGACATTGGGTGCCTAACCATCGCAACCAAACCTTGCGAAATTAAAAGATGAAACATGACTTGCCTTTAGCGCATTACGTCAATAATATACAGTGTAACATCAAAAGGAGTAAACCATAACAAACTAAACGTTTTACAGAATCATCAAAAACAGTTAATAAATATTAGATGACCTGTTCATACATGTAGGTCAATCGCTGCAACTGAATACCATAACAAAATTAACAAGAGGACCATTTAGTTTACTGCACCTTTCCCTTTAAATAATAATAATAATAATAATAATAATAACTTTATTCATCCTGGTAAAGACCGGTCAGTCGACCAAGATATAGATTGACTGGTATTAATCGGTGACCAGTATAAAAAGCATCAAAAAAAGTCAATAAAGAATTACAGGCATAGAATTTACAATTACAAAATCTAAAAAGTATAAATAATATACAAAAATTTAAATTTAAATTGTAGAAGTGTGATTTGCACTATCCATGTTTATTAGGTAAGTAAATATTTCGCCTTTGTGAGCTCGCTGAGCTTTTTTTAGTTGCTTTCAATCATAATTACAAAACAAAAAGCAGACAAAGTGGACCAAAATCTACCAATCGAAGCCACGGATGTGATCTTTGAGCCTGTTCTCGTGAACATGATTAATGGTTGCAGGAAATTCAACCACTGGTTCAGTTGAGTTTGCATGTGATTGAAAGGTGTAGGAAGTTAGAAGACTTACCATTACTATCAAATCCATGAGTTATTTCATGTGCAACCACAATCCCTATGCCACCATAGCTAATTGCTCTGTTTGCAAAAAACAAAAATAAACAGAGTTCATCCAGCTTTAAACAGTATCAGTGAAAACATTGAATTTTTCAGCTAAATTGTAGTTTGTGGCATACTGTTGAGAATAAAAAACTTGACCATATGCATCCATGTTTCTTGGTATCTACAACTGCTACACAAATTTTTAAGCCTAACAAGGCATCTAAAAAATTATTTGCTTTCCTACATCAGTTCAAATCATGCATAATTAAATTATGCTTCTTAACTTTATATTTATACACAATATAATGAACTCACAATGTAACCAGAAGAAACGTGGCTTGAGAGCTCAAAAGACCGTTTTCGATATATTAAAATTCAGCTTGGCAGTGAGGCCCAGAGGACACAAACAAAGGAAATTGAATGACCATGTTTATTCATTCTTTTGTTTGTGTCCTCTAGGCCTCATTATCATGCTGAATTTTATTATATCGAAAGTGGCCTATTGATAGAGTACTGCACTGGTATAATTATATAGATGAGGTCATGGGTTCAAATCTCCTTCAAACCTGAAGTCTTTTCGGGCTTTAGTTTTAAAACTGGTTAAGTAATGTGTACATCATTGTGATACTATAAAAAATACTGCAAAGGTCGGTCAGACAACGTGAGAGGCGGTGAATACAATATTTCGGCTGGCCAACACCAGCCTTCTTCAGGTTTATTTGGCGAGAACGCGAGTTTACATGGTATTTAAGAAATAGAAAACATGTAACGTGTTTCTATCGAGTTTTAGGACAAATCTACTAGCGTTCTATCACGAATGCCGTTCTCTGATTGGCTACACTACTCACTATCTATTCTGTGATAGATAGTGAGTAGCGTAGCAGTGTGCCCTTGTTAACAAAATGATGGCCGCTTCTTGGCATTTTCGAAGTTTCTGTGAATTGGATTTAGATAGTTTTGAACGACTAGTAGATTTATGCTAAAACAATTAGATTATTCGCTCTCGATTTCTATGCGTTATAGACTCATTTAAGCTTTTCTTTCCAATACATTCATTTTCATATTAAGGGACAATAAAGACTACAACCATACAGAACAACAGGAACAAAATTACAACTGACAATTTTAAAAACACATAATGGATCACTGAAACGGTGACTGGTGTCCATTTATTTCGCCACAGAATAAATTGATGTTTCTACTAAGCCTCACGCTACAATCGTGGACAAAAGTCCTTGGGACACTTATGTAATGCGACGAATTATCTGTGTTTTACAAACGAAGTTTGAAAAAAGCGCTGCTATTCTTTTAAAAACGCGTTGCTTTTTCCCCTCCCCACCCAATTCAATGTTGAAAATCAGGAGAAATTACAGGCACTAGTTTTCAACATTATATGTGTGATGGAGGCGAGGTTAGGCATGTGAAATTGATTTCGCGTCCGGCGTGTGCGCAAAAACGCCAAAAGTGCAAACTTGTCCCAAGTCTTTTCTCCATGATTGTAGTTCTTGGCAATGCCCTATTAAACGGCCATCTCCCGTTACACCGAGGGTTGCCGCTTAATAGGGGTTCAACTGCATTTTTTGTGCATTACTGTAAATTATTGCTGTTATCGTTTTTATCAAAATTATATCTTTGAGGATTTATTAAAACGTTACAGTTAGGGGTCGTTTTTGTGTAATACATTAAACTGTTGCTGTTACCAATTTCAGGTAAACAGCAATGATCATCAAGCCAAAACCATTCAGCCAGAGTTTAGTGGATTAACAGTTTATAGTTCAGTCCTTTTTCTCAACAAGGTGGCCATTGGCCTGCCAGATCCGAATTACTACCTACTTAATAACCGAGAGTGAGGTCGTTACGGCAAAATCTCAAACTGAGGTCTCGCCGTTTTGACCGAGCGATAGCGAGGTCAATACGGTAGGCTGAGGTTTGAGATTTTCCCGTAACGACCGAACGGCCGAGGTTATTAAGTTCTTTATCATATGGCTCATGAATGAAAGAAAAGAAAAAAATATTCGAGCGGAAGTTGTCAATTTACATCCGGCGATGCGCGCGTTTACCGATTCATTCGTCGTCTCAAACTAAACAGTCAGTGAACTTCACCACTGTATTACGCATTCCGTTAAAAACACTCATTTCTTTAAGGGAAAAGTGATTGTCACAACCTCAAAAAGGTATTTTGGTATCGTGGTGCCACAACTTGATGGGGGAGTTTTTCCGACTTTGGGGCGAAACGGCAACGCATTTGAAAAGACAGGAAGTGCTTCAAAATAGTCCAAACCAACGGTCTTTTGGTGAAAGAAAATACTGATGCTTCAGAATGCAGTGCTCAGAATAACTCGATCTTCGCATTCGCTTTCGACAACA